CTAAGAATTATACAAGTAAATTGTTCCTCGAGAAACACGCAATTTAAAAGAAAAGTCATTATAGGGAACCAAATACGAAATACGAATTAGGTGAACCAAATTTTGAGTTGTGTGAATTCGACATGAATATGGTGAACTAAAATAGAATTAGATGAACAAAAAAATAATTAGGTGATTAAATTTTGAATTGGGTAATTAGAATTAGGTGAAGTAATTTGGATTAGGTGAGAAAACATGGTATGAACTACATTTGAATTGGGTGAACAAATTTTGAATCGTGAGTTCTAGAATCGAATTAGCTGAACTATTTGAATTAGGTGAACAAACTTTAAACTTTGTGAACTAAAATAGAATTAGGTGAACAAATTTTGAAATGCGTGAACTAGAATTACATTAGGTGAACTAATATTTGTTTTGTGAACTAAAATAGAATTAGATGAATAAACTTTGAATTGGGTGAACAAATTTTGAAATGCGTGAACTAGAATTAAATTAGGTGAACAAATATATATTTTTGTGAACTAAATTTGATATATGTGAATTAACTTTGGATTGGGTGAACAAATCTTCAACTTTGTTAACTAAATTTGAATTAGGTAAACTAAAATATGAATTAGGTGATCACATTTTGAATTAAGTGAACTAAATCTGAATTGGACGAAAAATATAGTTCATCAATTTTCAAAAGAAGTTCATCGATTTTCAGAAAAGTTCACAAAACCTGAAAAAAAGTTTATCGATCTTCAAAAAAGTTAACAAAACCTTAAAAAAAACTTCATCAATTTCTGAAAAAGTCCATCAATCTTCAAAAAAGTTCACAAAATCTGAAATTTTCATCGGTTTTGAAAAGAGTTCGTCGAATGAAAAAAAAATTGTTTTTGAAAAAGAGTTCATCCATTTTGAAAAGAGTTCATCAATTTTGAAAAAAAATAATCAATTTTGAAAAAAATTCATCGGTTTTTAAAAAGAGTTCATCAATTTTGAAAATAGTTCATCGGTTTTTAAAAAGAGTTCATCAATTTTGAAAATATTTCATCGGTTTTTAAAAAGAGTTCATCAATTTTGAAAATAGTTCATCGACTTTGAAATATAGTTCAACGGTTTTGAAAAGGGTTCGTTGATTTAAAGTTCGTCGATTTTGAAAAAAAGTTCATTTGTTTTGAAAAAGAGTTCATCGATTTTGAAAAACAGTTCACGAATTTGAAAGGTTCATTGGATTTTGATTAAAAAACAACAAATTGAAAAAGTTCATGTATTTAACAAAGTAAAAGGGAAAAAATAAACAAAATCGTTCCAACAAAGGAGGGAGAGGAACAGAAAAAAGGAAAAGGAAAAAAACTAAAAAGAAGAAAAGGAGGAAGAAGGTGGAAATGATCACATCTGATGTGGTTGGCTGGTTGGTTACTGCAGCTTACCAATGAAGAAGTTGTGGGTTCGAGTCTCACCTGTGCGCTTCCTTTTTCTGCGGGATAAGAGCAGAAAAAAAACATAGATGGCCCGAGCCCAAGTCACTGCGGGGTTATGCGCCCGTTAGGGAAAACAACTAAAGCGGGCGCAGCGGGCGCCATTTAGGATTTGGCCCGTTGTTTCTTTGGGAGACGAGGCAATACACGAACCAGTAGTGGCGGAGCTTGAAGCCCAACACCGGGCGGGACGAAATGAAAGAAATAACCTATGGGCTGGTGTTCTAAGGCCCAACGGTAAAAAAAGAAGTGTACACATTCCAATTTTTGGGCGGGTCATGGCCCATCTGGCCTTGTTGTAGCTCCCGCCTGGGAAAGTATCAGGCACTCCCATCTTTGGGGTACTCCCGGTGCTTCAAGTTTAAAAAACATTCAAAAATATTTCAAAAAATTCCAAAAAAAAGGTGAATGTTCGCAAGGAATGTAACTACAACCCCTAAAAATTTTAGGTCCAAACTCGAAATGTACATCAAGAAACAAAAATGTGAAATCTGGCATGAAGTGTAAGAAAAAGACAAAATCAACAATGACACTATTTACATCTGGATTTCACATTTTTTTTCTCAATGTACATTTCAAGTTTGGACCTGAAATTTCTAGGGGTTGTAGTCACATTCCTTGCGAACATTCTCATTTTTTTTTGAATTTTCGGAAACATTTAAGATTTGTTTTTGAACTTGGAGCACTGGGAGTACCCCAAGGATGGGAGTACAAGATATTTTCCCGCTCCTGCCTTTGAAACCAGTACGAATAAGGAAAAATGTGCTAATCTCACAGCTACAAATCAAGCATTTTACCTAGGCTGTTATGCATATCCCCTCAGGATATCACGTATATCACTGTTCAAAAGTCGAAACATCTTAGAGTTGTGCACACACAGATCCTCACGTTTAATAGGCTTTATCTTGCCTAACAATCAACTGCCAAACAGTTGTTTCATGACAAATGGAACATTATCATGGCAAAGCAATGTGAATTTAGAATAACCATCATTGCATTAATTATAATCCTCAAAAGCAAGTTCAAAGTGATGCTTTGGCGCAACGAGCTGAACTTGGTCAAAAGGACTAGATCCATAACATAAAAAGGCATCGCTTATTTTTTTCTCCGTCAGGTCAAATATCACGAACATCATCTACAAACAACAATCAAGAATTCATCTACACTAAACAATAATTCATCTATATTTTGGGCGATACTCTAACAATATTGATACCATGAAGCTCACTGTCGAAACCTAGATCGAATGTTGTTGCCTGACTAGCAAAGGTGTTATCCAACTTTACTGCCTCATCTATTCCTGCGTACCGCTAAAAAACTATTCCTGCATATGAAATGCATATTCCAGAAAATCAAATATGTGTTGTCACCTGTGATTAATAAAATAACAGTAACAATGATGTTGGCCTGCAAATATCGAATCCAACTCATCTACAAAAATTTCTTTGATGGACCGAAATGTCTCCTCTATGTGTGTAGTTTAAACCTAATCATCAACCTTCTAAATCGCAGATCAACTAATGATGGCAACATACTCGCCACTCGGCCTCTTTATGATACCTTGTGTCCATCAAGATCTGTAAAATCAACTCCAGTATCCTTAGATAGACCATTGGGTCTCAACTAAAAGCATATCGCATTACAACTTCGTCCTGAAAACCATAGCTTATCTGCCAGATTTGGCAACAATATTACCACCGCACATCCAACAAACGCACCATTTAAAATCCGATACATAGCTCTCTTCGGTTCAGCACACGGTATTTCAACCAATGAACTAGGAGTCCCGGGGACATAACCACGACTCTGTGGAGAAACACCCAAATGTGGGTCAAGGCGATAGGGAGAACTATTGCGCGAAGCCTTCGGAACGGCAGGGGATTTATTAAAACAACTTGAGTCTTCAAGTGCTAACCAATTGGATCCGGTAACTGCGGAACCACTTCACTAGTCTAGGTAGGCTGTTCTTCCTCTAGGTCTCTCCATTCCCAAGAAATATTTCTTTGTGGGCTATAAAGCATTAACAACTGACTCTCGAGTATTCCTATCAAGTTTTTCTATTCCCATCGTAACGCGGGCATAGGTCAAAAGATTAGCTCGCTTATTCGGATTTGCCCTTTTATTATTACCGTAACTTATTTTTGTGCCTGATACAAAGTTTTGATTATGAAACTTTCCTTGTGACCTGATCTTTTTGTGCTTTCTTGGAACCGACAACTTGCTTCATGCTATTACTAACACTTATGACTCCGATCCAACGGCTCCTAGAAGCTTGTATCATGGGAGCATCCAAGGCTCCGTATCACCTAATACTTTCCCCTTATGACTCAGCCGCACTTGCTTTTCAAAAGAAATTGAAACCATCATGCCTCAGAATTCATATTAAACCAATGGAAACCCAGATTTTGTTTTTGCTGATGCAATGCAACAATATGTGACCCGAATGGCGACCTAATTTCAACAGCCACTAGCAAACGGGAACAAGGCAACAAGCACATGTTGAAGACGAAATCGCCTGGCCCTCGGAGCTGTTTCTCCCGCACCGCGGCTGGCTGGCTGCATCTCTTTCGCTAGGAATTGACAACGCAACCACCGATTCGGATCGCGGAGACGCGCCAGCACGTCGTGTTCATCCATGTCCGCCAACTCGGCTCCCCAGACGCTCAATGGCGTGATGTTCCTATCGGTTGGACTTTAAGATTCAGTCCAGTACAAACGGTAGCTTTCCTACCAACAGAACTCCACAGCATACCCGGCGGCTGATGTGCATGCAGGAAACTGGGAACCAGCAGTTCCATCTTTGATCGGGCGAGTCCAAAATGACATGCTGCCGACTCGTCGCTGTTGGCAGATTTGGGTGTCTGCAGAAGAGATTTGCCCGGTATCAACCGCGAATCGCCTCGCATCCACATGTAACCGCGATAATCTCGATCTCAGCATAGGAAAAACAGATAGAATTCCATAGTGAGCAGAGATAAGATTGTGAGCCAGTCCCTCCATGAAAGATTATCCATGGTAAGGTTGAACGGGCATAAGATTGTCAGCCAGGCCCGGTTAAAGAGGTCCAGGAGTTTCACCAAAATTACATAAGAAAACTATCAGATTCAAGCTGGCAGTTTCATGTGTCCCGATTCCGAACGACCAATGTGGAACTGGAAAATTCACATGTTTAAACAAACAGAGAATTTGGAACCACGGGAAGTTCAAAAGCATTTGTTTCCTCCGGCATGCATAACAAAGCCAGGAGTTTTAACATTGGCAGCTAGGCGCCGCAGACCCTCATGACAACATGTTATTGTCATGATATCCTCTCAGGGACCTCCATGACACTTTCATCGCAGGCACGACATTGTGCCTGCACTGTCGCGCCTGCACGACTATCACTACACTTCCTGTTCGCCATTGCCGCTACATAACACGCTACACGCGCACAGTACAGACTACCAAACCCTGTTGCTACACAGCGTAGACTACACCTACCGCAGTATGATACAGTTGAGGGTAACAAAAGATCCTTTTTTACACTTCCTCACCGTGTCATGAATTGTGTCCTTCCAGCTGCAAGCAGCTGCTGCTGCCCGAGCTGCTGATGAGGCACGGGAGATCCCGGACCTGGAGCTTCACGTTGCGCGTGCCCATCGAGTCCATGACGTCGACGCACTCCTGGAGATCGGAGTCGTTCGCCATGATGACCCACTCGTCCTCGTCATCCTTGTACTTGAGCTGGAACACCCCGGTCAACAGCTTGAACCTCTTGGCTATTTCTTCCAGCAGGTGGTACCAGCCCATCGATGGCAAGAACTTGAACCGCACGGTGTCTCCATTGTACGTCGCCTTGACCGTAAGTGCAGGGCTGCTCTTGTCCTTAAGTGGGCGTGCTGGGTTCTTCTTGAATGTAGGGTGGCTTGATGCACTGCCGCTAGAAGAGTCTGTCATACCAGAGGTAGAAGGATGAGTATGCTCCCTGCCTTCGCGATCATCAAACATATCAATATCTGCTTGTTGCATGGGTGGTGAGTTCCTTCCCACTATTTGGTCCCTGGTAGTCTTGATGCTTGGGAGGACACAGGGCAAAGGTTCGATGCAACCTGTTTCTTTGTCATGTAAAGCACTAACAGCACCAGTGGGATATAATGGTCCTTGTGTTCCTTCAGAACTAATATGATGTGTGATATTCGGACCATAAGAGCCGTGATCACCACTGCCACTATAGTTAGTTGTCTGCATGTGAAATTCACCGCCTTCCCCTTTCTGCGCATCAGAGCGCTGCAACTGACAGCTATCTCTTTCCCATCCTTCAGGTGACGAATACCCTTGCTCAGATTTTGGGCCAGATTTTTCATCCACAGTTTTCCCAACAGATGGACTAGACACAGCATCACATGAAGGGAATGAAGTCTTCTCTGGCAGAGAAACTGCTGGAACAAGAGATCCAGTAGCTGGATCATACTGCAAAGAGCTGTCCACTCCATGGACAGAGTTAATGACAGTTTGGATCTTCTTTAACGAACGGTTGACCTTGTTTATCTTGCGAGATGGCCATCGCGAAATTCCATGTGTGCGGCATATCCGTTTCAAGGTTGTTGGACAAACTGCAACAGTATTAATAACAAAATGTTACAGAAATCATCTATCATATCCTATATATAAAACCTAGATATCACAACACAGAAACGATTCAATCGAAAAGTAACATGACAAAGTGACACACTAGGGTGCAGGGGCTCACCACCGAGGCTCTTTGCAGCATCCTTTAGGCTCCCAGAAAAGTACTTACGGAGAACATCCATGCCAATATTCTTCTCCGCTGTACTGCGCTTTTTCTCCGCAAGTCGCATTGAACTAGACTGTGCCTGCAGTGCAGAAGAAGCTTCTAGTCAAGAGGATATCAAGAATCCAGTTAACACACCGATTCAAAGTTAAATGCATTCATCAATGTTGATGATCTAGGTTCTGCAGATTTAACCATGTATGACTAGCCAACCATGAGAATGCCCCTTTACAAAAGATGATCGATTGTGCTAATGGCATGTCAAATCTGGAAGTTTCTACCAGCCTAAACTGTTGGAATCCTTCTCCTCTGATCAAACTTGGCACTAGAACTATGCCATTATTCAACAGATCAAATTACAAATGTGTGTGCCCATTACCGTTAAGTCATAACACACAACTAGTCAAATTTCTAAAGTGCCAACAAATTAGGCGTTTCAACAAAAAACTTTAGGAAAAGATTCAGTTCGATTCAAGGAAATACGCATGTTCAACAAATGAGAACTAAGATGGATGAGCACAAGTCTCAGAAAAGGATTTCAGCTCAAATCATGCTAATCAAGATTATTCATAAATCAGGACCAATATGATTGCACAGAATGCCATATATTTAAGTAAAACATATAATATGAGAGCACCTGCTCGGACATGTCCCCTTGCTTATCAATTAAAGATAGATCCTGGAATGCCTCTTCTGTGGCAGGTTGATCACCATGTGAAGAACTCCAAGACTGACCAGTAGGCAAGCAACTTCCACTGGTTGCCTTATACATTACTGCAGTACAAGCGTCAACTTTATCAACCTCTGCTTCAGAAACTGTTCGCAAACTTTTGCATATTCTTTGCATAGTACTGGACAGGTTATTCAATAACATCTGTTGTTCTTCACTGCCTGTGCAGTTGATTGGTAGAAAGAATTCTAGTATGTAGTCATCATCACCAGTGTATGTGCTCCTTAGCCGGATTGCTACAGCAGCATGCAGACCAAACTTACGAGCATGGTGTGCGAGTGGGTAATCCTTAATTCCGTATTCTCTTATATTAGGAGAGAAGAACGGCAGATTGGACTTGAGTGCTCGGCCTGCAATACCTTGCCCTTTCTCAAGATGAGTTTCAGTGCATGCATGAAAAAAACCTTGCATCTTTGCATCATTAACATAACACGCTGATTCATGGATGCGGAGTATCGCTTTCCCTGACTGAGAATCAAGGACACTATCATGTCCAACATAACCACCATCACTACCATTTGATGAAGGGACCCATGTAAGGGCCAACGGAAGCATGTGTGCATGGCAAATAGCTCTTAGAACATCCAAAATCTCAGTGAAGGCGGCTTTCTGATTTGCTGAATAAACCTGCAAATAAAGAGACATCACATACATCAAACATCAATAGATAAACAAACAAAAAACACTGAAGAGAACTTGTATCCAGCATCAATGATGCACAGCAGAAATCTCAGAGAAGTGAAGAATGGCACCTTCTGATCGATACAATCTTTTGCTGTCTCCAAGTTCACAGCCTACAGAAGAGTAATATGGTAAGTATTAAACGTAAGTGCCAAGAGAAATTCCAGATTGTGCAAGAAAATAATACACCCATCATTGTCCATGGACAGTGCAATATGAATACCAGTAGCCAGAATACAAGCATTTAAAATTCAGTATATACTTTTATTCATGGCATCTAGAAATGGCACCAACAGAAGTGAGGACTTGCATCCACATGACAGTTCATGTTACTTGTCATGAAATTAGTAAAATACACTAACGAACAAATCTATAAGATAATAGACATTGCAGTGGGAAGTAAAAATGCTCCTTCATGGGTAAATTCACTATTTTGTCCCCAGCTAAACATAACTAAATAAAGGAGGGGGTGGGGAGCAAGTTAGAACTTGCCTGCAATGCATGGCGAAGGTTGTTCATTTCTGCATCGAAGTCAGGTTTCTCCTTCTTTGTGATAAGCTCAAGCACCGCACAGCAAGAGCCCTTGCTAGGGTCATATATCGGCATTGCAAGTGATCCTCGAACTTCATGGTGAAGAGCATACTCCATCCTCAAATACTCTGGCTTGCTGTAGTAGAGCACATTTGAGGTCCATTCTGGCACACCGGAGATGAAGACCCTCCCTGGAAGCCCTGGTTGAAGGCCAGTCTCCTCCTTAGCAGAGAACACAAAATGCCTGGATACTTCTCTGTACCCAGCAAGAGCTTGGTCAAGCAGAAACGGCTGTTCACATGTACTAAGCACGACATGCCCCTCCTGCTCAACAGGCATCCAGACCTGCGCAAGAATGCCGCCGCCAAGTGACTTCCTGAACAAAGACAGAGCCATGAGCATCCTGTCAGCGAGTAAGTTGCCGGCAATAGGCCTGGGAACCAAGCTAGTACTTCCTTGTTCGGGATCACCATCTGAGCCAAGGTCGCCTGAACTCTTGGCCATTCTCCCGGTCCCAGTTTCAGCTGGATTCACCGAAGATACCAAATCAACCTTTTGATCCCCGGGTACACTGGAATAGGCATCGAGCTGCATATCTTCACTGACACCAGAAGCACGCGGCGAAGATCCCAAGGATGACCACATAGCAAACATCTGGTGTGTGGACGAGTCGTTCAGCAACGAGAACAGCTGGTCAGCTAACGAAGGGCTGCCGCAGAGCTCTGAGTACCCATCAAAGTTCATCATGGCCGTAACGCCATATGGATCATCCGACGGGCTGCCGACGCTTCCATTGCATCCAGCACGGTTGGACTGTGAAGGCAGAGGCACATCCATGGCTTTGCTGCACTCGATTGGTTCCAGACACTTATCCACTCCTGTGGGACAATTAAGGTTTCAGTGCACTGTGTTGGGGACAGATAAAAAGGACGGCAGTAGCGTGTGTCCTTTCAGAGCAGAATCTTGGTAGTGCAACACAAGGACTGATTTAATAGGCAGAATCTGAACAGGAGACTGCTTTTGATACAGTGACACAAGAATCCTAGATCAGCAGTTCATCATGGGCACAAGAACTCGACTCAAAAGGTCAAACCTTTCGAGGAGAAGGCAACCGGAGTTAACAGCCTAAAGCAGCTGCAGAAGTCCTGTTTTCTGGCGGAGGAAGGGTGCTGGCACACAAGACAGAAGCTCGGTATCTGATCCCAGTAAAATCTATCCGTTTCATCCAGAAACGCTCTATAATCTGAAACTGAGCGCGGAGGAAATCATCAAAAGAAGCAAACTTGTGGTTCCCCCAAGAATCAGTCGCCGCCTGAAACAACTTCACCAAATCAGCTCCTCTGACGAAACAAAATTCAGCGTAACTCGGAACCTCCAATTCGAGCCGGCAGAGCGAAACCGTACCCCGGCTGGGCCCAATCAGCAGACCACACGGAACCGGAAGCCTCCAAGCCCCAGCTCCGGAACCATTTGCCGGTCCGGAAAGAGCCCGGCAGCCTCCGTCGCCGATAGCGCCGGCCCCGGACGGAAGAAGCCAAGCGGCGGCCGCCACTCCTCGGCTGGCGGCGGGGATGAGGACGACGGATTGGCGGGGAGGCGGCGCGGCGGCGCAGATCTGAGGAGGCGGCGGGAGGAGGGAATCGGAGGCTACTACTACTTGCTGGGAGGAAGACGAGGAGAGGGCGAGGCTTTGGATTGGAGGTTGGAATTCTCTAGCCCGGTCGCTGGCTTTGAGCTATGAGTAGTTGTTTTTCTACTCCCCTCCCCCGCAGCGGATTCTTCCCGGCTCGCGGTCACGGCCGCCCTCTTTAAATGGTTAATTATTAACTGGGCTGATTTTTTCTGGCCTTGGGGTTCTCTTCCTCTGTTTTGGCACAGGAAATGGTGGTATGGCAAACTCATACGGAACGAATTCCTAGGCTGCAGCAAAACTTGACACGGCCAGGTCTGTCGCTTCTGCCAAACTGAGCATAGCTTAGATGATTACTCCAGCTTTTGGTCCTGTTTAGATACTCTAACTCAGTTAGAGGTTAGAGTTAGATTCTAACCTTGAACTAACCCTAGACTAACTCTAACCAAAGAGCTGTTTGGATGATAGGGTTAGATTGACAATAAATATTCTTTCTCAATCATTTGACTACTTTGGATCATATTTGAATGGGAGGGATAACTTTTTTTACTATTTTTTCTAATGGGCTTAGGAGAACTAACCCAAATAAGTTCCTCTAGTGTGGGCTAGTTTTTTGGGGTGGGTTAGATTCAACTAACCCAAACTAACCTACCATGTTTGTATATTTTTGGGTTGTTTGAGCCCCAACTTACTAAAACTAACTCTAACTTAGAGATCCAAATAGGGCCTTTATTGAGATGAAGGCCCTGTTTGAATATTAACACAGTTAGAGTTAGAATTATTTTCTAACCCACTCTAAACCAAATAAACACCTCTCCATTGAAATAGTTGGGTTAGATGGAACTAACCCATTCTAACCTCCCTGTTTGGATACTTTTGGGTTATTTGAGCCTCCAACTAACCCAAACTAGCTCTAACCCCATGATCCAAACAGGGCCGAAGTTAGGGCAACTTTAACTGATCCTCTATTCGGTTATAAGGGAGGATAAATTCGATTTTACTCCTCTATGTCACGTCTAGCTGATCCCCTAAACCGAATAGAGAAGGATAATTTATCCTCTGACGCCTATCCAGTCCCTAAATATACTCCATCTGAAGACGGCAGAGGATAAATTTTCTTCACGCAAAGGCCTTCTTGTGGCCGGACGATGACTCATGTGAAGCTCCAATGTCGAAGGCGGCGACCTACGACTTCACCGATGACCTCGATGAAGTAGATGCTAACGGTGGAGCCGAGCGTGTTGAGGCCGGAGGTGACCGGTGAGAGCACGAGCGCTGTTTGGTTGGAGGCGAACACGGCGAATTGCACGAGTACAGCACCTGCAGCCTGACGCCGGCCACCAGCGCCCGCCGCATAGTAGCCGTCTTCACGGGCCGCGATGGGTGTTCAAGGGCAGGCAAACGCGTCCCCTCCTTTCCTTCCTTGTTCACCATGGACGGTCTGGAGCTGGGTGCGAGCGATTGATTGTTTTGATGTGCATTGTAGCGCATTGTACCGGTTGCATTTGGTGAAGGTGGCAACGGCGCGGGCGTTCGTGCCCATGGAGCTGTGCGGTGTTTCCGGCGTGGTCACCATCGTCGCGGGGACGCATGGCAGATATTCGACGAAATGCATAAACAAAAAGTAACTTTACTCTGCTAAATTTAGAAGATCGGCTAGAACCAATCAAAACTTAGTAGAATAAATATATTCTACTATGGTTTACTCGGCATATCCTCTTCTATTTTTTTAGAGGATCAGTTAGAGTTGCTCGTAGTTTCTCGAATTTAAATCCTAGATTTGGCAGGGGTATATGTGGGAAGCGATGTTCGACAATATTCACTCGATTTGAGACGACTTCCTCTCGACTACGAAGCACATGTGATGAGCTCGTCAATTCCAAAATGTGTGGACTCGGTCTTTCGTAGATGATTATATGGGTAGATTGTGTGCACATGCTTTCATAAAAATGAGTGTATGCGCGTGTTTGTGAGAGTTTTGTGGTTGTATTATATTTTTAAAGAGTCATGTCGCTCCTAGGATTTAAGGTCTCCTTTGGTTTGGAGGAATTTCATAGAAATTCTAGAGGATAAAATTCTTATAGGATTTTTTCCTTTAAAGCCCTTTGGTTCATAGGAATGGATTCCTATTCCTACATAGGATTGGTTCCTATCCTTCATATTTCATATGAAAATAAAAATAAGCCTAGACTCAATGAAAAAAATTCATTTGGTGTCAACCAAATGACATCTTGTTTCCTATTCCTATTCATAGGATTTGAGATACATGTCATCTCATTTCCTACAAGATTCCTATTCCTACGATAATCCTATCTTATGAACCAAAAGAGGCCTAATTAAGGGTTGGTGGTTTTACTTATTTTTTTTATTTGATTTTGAACCCATCCAAGTGACGTCGAACTAGGTAGGTTGTATGCAAATTGAAATTGTCCAAGACAACTAGGCATTTGAGTAAAGTGAACTGCGCATTTGAAAAAAAGATTGACTGTAGGCATTGAACCTACTGCTGTCTTAATTTCCGTTTTGGGGGGATAAGCGTGAAGCGTTAGTAGTACGTGTAGATGCATTTGCACGGCCACCTACTGCAGGTTTGACCGACCACACCACGGATTCCCTATAAAACTCCCACGATCCATCCTCTCCTCCTGCCACTTGACTTTTTTGTAATCGACATTTGAAAACATGAAAGGGAGGAGAGATTTACATTGTTTTTCAAGCGACCGCAACCCGTGCAAGTGGCCTACAAATCGCTCTCAGGACGCTCGGCATCAGTGGCGTACGTACCACCAGACCCTTTTCCCCAAAGAAATATCGCACTGAGCCTCCGGGAAAGTACTTTAAGGTACGAGCATATCTATTGTTCCTTGTTAGTTTAGTCAGAGAATGACGCCAGCGTATACAGGAGAGAACATTTTCCGGGTGGGGAATCCATTAGCGTGGGAAATCCTCCTAGCTAGCTAAGCCCTCGGCGTTCTAACCATCAGAGCATCTACGGCGGGACGCCCGAAATAGGCAACAAATGTCCACGGGCCACCCGGTCACTGACCGGTTACAAAAATGTAACCCAGCCGAACACCTTAAGGCCTCCTTTGGTTTAGAGGAATTTCATAGGAATTCTAGAGGATAGGATTCTTATAGGATTTTTTTCCTTTAGAGTCCTTTGGTTCATAGGAATGGATTCCTATTCCTACATAGGATTGGTTCCTATCCTCCACATTTCATAGGAAAATAAAAAAGAGCCTAGACTCAATAGAAAAATTCCTTTGGTGTCAACCAAATGACATCTTGTTTCCTATTCCTACTCATAGGATTTGAGATACATGTCATCTCATTTCCTGCAAGATTCCTATTCCTATGATAATCCTATCATATGAACCAAAAGAGGCCTAAACGGGTCTCAAACATTCGGTCTATTTGGCCTAGCCCAAATATATGACGAATATGGGGTTGTCCGCGCGCGCCCGGGCGCGTCCGACGCTTCAGCCCAGCTCACCCCATTCCCGCAAATATCCCTAATCTGAAAACCCTACCTCACTGCACTCTCGATTCGTCGCTTCTGCTGTCCTCCGATCTCTCTGATTCGATCCGCTCCTCCGACTCCGGAGACCACGTTGAGCGCCGACAGCCGCTCCTTCTCCGACTCCGATGAGGAGTCGGCCCTCTGAATTGCCCTCAAGAGGTCCAAGGTGACACGGGGGGCAGTTCCTGATCGACCGCCTCACCTCTCCTCGTCAGCCCAGCGAGGACGCCAACGCTGGCTCCACCCAGCCGTGCGGGCTGTGCAGTCCGCGCCTCCCCAACACCATCCCCGTCCCCGCTGGCCGTTGCTCCACTACGCAGGCAGCGATGGGTGCTTGTCCGCCCAGTCGGCCCGGACGCGCAAGGGAGGGGGACGCGGGGAGAGCTCTGTCCGCAGTCGCCGCGGGTTACCGGTGGAGCCCGACGAGGACGAGCGGCTCCCCGCGTCGGTCTATCGCCGGTCGCTTACGACGGCAGAGACGGACACTCGCGGCTCCGCCAGAAGAACGCAAAGGCTCTCCGGCTTGCAATCAAGCAGTCCGAGCGCGAGGCCAAGGAAAAGGCGACGGAGGTAGCTCGGCTGGTGAAGCTCAAGTGCTAGCACGACCGGGTCGTCTGGCGCCTCAAGAGCCTCGTCATCATCTTCTCCTCCTTCGACGACGACGACCACGGCTCCTCGTCCGACGAA